TCAATTTTCTTTGTTGATGTTTATACGCATCATATCTTATTTATTTTCATAAAGCTATATATGTGTGTATATATATATATATATATATATGTACAGACAACGACGAAATTATCATTGATGTAGCAACATTGTTTTCGATTAGATTCCCGTGTAAAGCGATTTTAACATTTTATGCGATATATGAATTATAGAAATCGTTTATTTCTCTCGTATATAAGAAAATCCAATGCTGCGATTAAAACGGATTTTAATTCGGGCAATTCCCGTGTTCATTATTTTGCGCGTTGTAAAAAGTCGCTTTAAGCGAAAAAATTAATCTTCTAATAATTAATATTAGATAATGATCGCATCGTTAGGAAATCGAACTTGACTCGATTAGATATAAATCATTTTCAAAGCAATGATTAATTAAAAAGTATATTCTTTGAGTTTGAATTTTTTTTTTTCTCCTTTTACTTGGAACAAGTTTAATTTGAAAAAAAAAATGTATGCATCTTTAAACTGCACTTGCGTGTCAAGACAAAATATACAAACATACGTACAAATAAAAAAAAAAGAAGAGAGAAACGAATGAAATTCGCGCAAGAAAGTCGTTTCGTCCGCGGCCGTCGGATAGGAACAGTATTTTCCTCCCTCCAACAATAATACTTTCTCTCCTTCCCCCCCTCCAATCAAATATAATTTGCACGTGTTGCGCAGATAGAGAGCACTCTTCCTCCGCCGGCGATCGAAGGTAATTTGATCGGGCGCCTTCGAGATCCAGCTGGGAATCCCCGAAAGAAACTCAGAAGCGCGAGTTATTGATCAACTCTGGCCAACGCTAGACAGAGAGAGAAAGAAAGAGAGGGAGAGGGAGAGGGAGTGAGAGGAGATCGTGCACGACGGGTGAGCTGTAAGTGACGGGGAAGGGAGGAGTAAACTTGTGAAGCGGAGAGGGGATAAAAGTGTCGTGTGCGGATATATAAAAAAAAAAAAAAAAAAGAAAAAAAGAAAAAACAAAAAAAACCGTGAAATCAAGAGAAAAAGAGGAAATTGATCGTGACACAGGAAGGAAGAAAAAAATTTCGAGAGAGAAGATAATCGACATAAGGTACAATAGTTGGGCAGTGACGAAAGTGTCGAATGTTTTTCGTGTCGGGGAGAACGTTGCACGGAGATCGGATGTATAATTGAAGAAAGAAAGAACGAAGTTTTTGGATTCCTTTCCTTCCATGGACAAACGCGGTAGAAGATAATCGAGCGTACCTCGAGCCAGGACCGCCGACATCCAAGGTAAATATAGCACCTGTTTCGCCTCCTCCTTCGTTCCTGCCTCGCGTTTGATGCCCACGCGTTTTCTTATGATCGAGCAGAAATACGCGTGCATTCACCTATTCGCGTTTTCGCACAGCGATGCGCATTTTTACCAACCGGGCCGGCTCTTGTCCTCGGTGTCGTCAGTGCCGCGGGGAAAAATACGTTGAAATATGCTGGGAAAATTATACGAGTAAGGGAATTTTTTTATAGCGCGAAGTAAGGATAGTATGATTTTTAAACTGTTTGTTGTTCAAAGTATAATATATAAATGGTGTATAGTAATATATAGTAATATAAACGTAAAAATAGTACTATATATTTTTTATGTATTTAAAATACGTTTAACTTCGATGAATATAAGACGAATCTTTTTTCAGTAGGAATTAATAGATCGAGGCAAGAAAAAAATTGAATATTTCGATGGCGAAAAGTAAAAAATTTTTGGATTTTTAAACGTTAAAAAGAAATGTGACGTGAATAGAATTAAATTCTATAAATAACGCTATTTATTTATATTATTTAATTTATTCTTCGTTCGAAAGGAAACTTTGCACGTTTCAAAAATTATATTTTTCGTGTATTTGATAAATCTAGTTTTCCGTGACTCTGCTCGATCATAAAATAGAAAAGAATAAAAAAAGAATGGAAGAGAAAGAGAAAAAGAGAGAGAGAGAGAAGCGCGACAGTGTCAGTTTTCCTTTTACTCGTATACAGCAAAATGTAAATGACAAATGAAACCGTGATACGGCAATATTGAAAGGAGTACGCGTATAAAAGTGCAGTTTCCGAATCGGATTCGCTTTCGACCGATGAAACATTTATATTGGCTTGGTTATCCCGCCACTTCGTCACCGTGTCACAATGAAATGTTAAACCAAGATTACTGTATCTGTGTGATAGATTATGCGCACCAGCGATAAGTCGTGCAGTCGAAGGTTATCGTTCGTTTGGTAATTACTATCGCCTCTTCGATCATTCATTAAAATTAGGACGAAACGCATGGGCAAAATTCTTTTTCTCTTTTTTTTTTTTTCTTTCCATTATTATTAGGGTTAAGACGAAATACAAGGACGAGATTTTTCTTTTTTTTTTTTTTTGTTATTCGAAAATTAAAATTGAAAGATTCGAAACAAATAATCGTATAATTTTGATTTTTTTCGTTTCAATTCTATCATAACATGAATCGTAAAGACATTATCCTCTCTCTCTCTTTCTCTTTCTCTTGATTTTTTTTCGTAAAAATTAAAAAACTTTCATTTCACGAATAAATAATTCGATCCTATCGTATCGATGCTATCGTATCCACGTTCTAACGCCATGTCAGAATTTAAAAAAAAATTTTAATTTGTTTTTACGTAATTTTGATAGTAAAAAAAAAAAAAAAAAAAATTATTTCAATTCACAATTAATTGGAACCACAATATATTAGATTTATCTACGTTTATAATTTTCTAACAAAATGATTCGTTCGCGCGTTAATTAATAAAATTTCTTTACGAAAAGATATTCAAGGACAATTGCACGATATTAAAATATTCGATCTTTCTCTCTTTTTGTATTTCGGATATTAGGAAGGAAGATATCGAATATTAGATATCTAATCCACGGAATGGATTTAGAAATTGACTTGCACATCTGACAACTTGTCTATTTGACGTTTCGAAAAATCGACTCACGCCGCCATGCCTGTGATTTGCTCGACTTTCTCCAACAACAAGCCGGCTCAGATGAGCGCAAGGAATTCGTTCCACGGATGTTACTCTAAAGAGTTAGAAATTTAGAAACCGGAACTTGTGACTCGTATAGAAAATACGTACAAGTGCGTATTTTTTTTTTTTTTTAAATATCACACACAAATATTTGCATTAGAAATAAAAAAAAAAAATCATCAAATTATTACAATTAATAATAATGCAATTTAAATATAGACAAGAATCGGAATATAGAGTTATCATCATCATGAAATAATTTATCAAATTGATTTGTGTGAAAAATCAACTTTTCACAAATTGTTTTTAAGCGATTATTATCGGGCGGAAGGTGAAAGGAAAATTTCCTATTTAAAAGTGTTATCGTTCTTTATGCGGAATTGTTATCGCTATCGCGAACAGCCAGCTGTTTATACAAATAAAAGCGACTAGAGGTAGCATCGCGAAGAAAAATGTATTAAGTCAAAATAGATTTTCCAAGTTGCCGGGTATTGACGTTGTTGTTGTTGTTGTGTGCGTTTCTATCGATATCGACGAACACGGCCAGCCCATTAAAACGAACACAGGAAACGACTTTTAGCTCAGATTAGTCCCCCGGGATTTGCATGTAGAGCACTCATTCCATCCCGTCCGTCGAGGTATGCACTTGGAATAATACATTCGTGTTTTAATCCATTGTTGGACGTCGTAATTTATCTTTGGTGTTAAAGTTTTTTCACCCAACAGACATTTATTTACCTTTGCTTACTTTTCATCCATCGTTCCAGTTTAATAAAAATATTCATTCGCCGCTAATAATTCTTCTAACCTGTAGGATATAATAAAGATAGAAAAAATATTTTTGTAAGTATGAATTATATATTAATTATATAAAGTGATTAAATATGATGATGATTTTAAATGTAAATTGATTCAAAAATCAACTTGATCTAATTTAATACACGTCAATATTTTTATTAAACTATTTAAATAAATAAAATATAATTTTAGAAATATTAAATTTAATGGAATTCAATGTATTAATAGAATAAAATATTCAATTATTGAACCATTATTAATTTTAAACTTAATATAGATTTTTCCATGATTAATAACTATAAATAAATAAATCTAAATAAACAATATATCATTAAAATAACAAATAAATATTTTAATCAAAAAATTAAACCAATTATTAATATTACCTCCCTAACTAAATTTAATGATACAGGAGATCCTATATTTGATGAACATAATATAAATCATATTAAAGATACAAAAGATATAAAATTAATCATTCCTTTATTTACAAATATTAATCGACAATTAGTTTGTTTATAAATTATATTTACTAAAAAAAATAATCCAGAAGATCTTAATCCATGAGAAATTATTATTATATATCTACCAATTAATCTTAATTTTAAAAATGTTAATATTCTCATAATTATTAAACCCATATGAACAATTGAAGAAATTGCAATAATTGATTTCATATCATATTGTATTAAACATATTAATCTTAATACTAATACTCCAAATAAATTTATTACAATTAAAATTTTTCTAAAATAAATAAATTCAATTTTTATTATATTATTATTAATATATATATATATATTAATTTTATATATTATATTTTTTTTATATATTATATATATATATTTTATATATTATTATTAACTATAATATTCCATAACCTCCTAATTTTAATATGATAGATGCTAAAATTATTGATCCATAATATGGAGCTTCAACATGAGCTTTTAATAATCATCCATGAAATATATAAATAGGAATTTTTACTAAAAATGATATTAATAAATATATAAATAACATAAAATTTAAATTAAAATTTAATATTTCTATTAATATAAAATTTAAACTATTATTTATTCAATAAATATAATAAATAATATATAATATTGGTAAAGAAAAAACTACATTGATATTATTAAAAAGTACAGAATTGGCATAATTCTTAAGCAAAGTGTGGCATAAATATTTTTGTAAATATTAGATAGTCTCTTATGTAAAAATATAAGCACATCGTGCTATATTACTTACCTGGTTCATCTACTTGGTTAAGAAAAATATTTTTGTGAATAAACATGTATAGATAGATTTGAAAAAATAAAAAATTAATTTTACTTTAGAACATACATTTCCTTCAAAACTTTTTATCTTCTCGTTATACGAATAAAATTAATCGAAATACAATTTCAATTCTGGGAATATATCGAGTTCAAAACTTACTTGAGAACTTATTCCAATTTATTATCTCTTGAATCGATCTTTATTAATTAATTAATAACTCGATTAACAACATTTTTTTACGATCTGATAATTACACCGGTCATCACACTTTCTCTTATCGCCTCACTCTTTTCATTATCGATAAACAATTTCCAATAAAATAAATGAAATAAATATTCCTCTCAACAATTTTTTCCCAAACTGTAAAATATAAATTGAAAAAGGGAAAAATTAATACATTTCGTAAATCATCATTTCGATTCAATCGTCGATCATCGTTCCATTACCATTACTTTATATATAAAATACAAAATTAAGGGAAAAATAACGCGGTCAAAGATACGAGAAACCAAGCCTTTGCCCGTTATTCGATCATATTTCCTTTTCGCTGTTAAAATAATAATAACAATTAATAATAATAATAACAATAATAATAATAATAATCTCACGCATTTTTAATTTTTTCTCACTTGTCCAGATCCCATTGCACAGATTACACTTTTTTTTCTTTTTTTTTTTTCCAGTACACTTTCGTAACAGTCAGGAAATCCGCCGTGGCGAGATTCAGATATCATCGTTTCTGCTTCCTTAAAAAGAATAAAATAAAATAAATAAAGCTGATCGGTCGAAACGAGCGAAACTTGAAATTCATAGCACGGCCCAGCCTCGAGCGTGGCGCTTTCACGAGACCATCCGCTTCCATTCAACAAAATTTAACCGTATCCCTTCTTGCATTTTCGATCTATTATATATATATATATATATAAAATATTCGGAACGAATGGACATCTCGACGCCGTTTTAAGATTATTTAAACAGGAGGAGGTGAATATTTGATCGGCGCGACGATGGGCTGTGGGCTGGAAAGTGGGACGCCAGTCGTGTTTTTGAACAACCGAGTTAATCCAACCGGTCTGACATTTTGGAAATCTTGTCCCCCCATTGTTGCCGCTCCGTTCTCGCGAAGATGGATTGTAGAATTTTTCAAATTGTTTGCCATTCTATTGTATTCTCTCTCGATTCTGGAAGAAGAATTTTTTTTTTTTTTTTCAAATAAAATTGGATATTGGTTAAAGATTGATTGATCAATTGAAAAAGATATGAAGCTATTATAATAGTTTAAGGATGTTAACTCGATGTTTATTAAGATAGTAGAAGCAAGCGGATGTGACTTTTCTTTTTTTTTTTTTTTTTTTTTTTTTTTTTTTTTTTGATTCGTTGTATTACATGCAATGATTAACTCGACGAGTATGTGTACGTGATTTTATCAGCGTGACGTTATCTATAGCGATAATTAATCAAAGTTGGAAATAATTCGTTTATTGAAAAATTTCTTAACGGAGTTACGATGAATCGTCTCGTCAAATAATATTCTTTTATTTTTATTAAATAAAAATTTAATCCTTTCTTTATTGAACTATATTCTTTCGATATTTAAAAATGTGTTAATAAATTTAACAAATTTATGTATAACAAATGTATTAATTATTTTAGATACTTTTAAATATAGAATTTAACGATTATTTATTATTAATGATTTTTAAAAAAAAAAATTCGAAATTTTTTCTTCCTGCTGCTGTTATAATTTTTATGCATGATATAAAAAAGATTATTCGTTAAAAATCGAATAAACTAAATAAAAGAAATGGATCGAATATCTTTTATTATTCTTTTATTTAAAAATAAAATGTGAAAAATCACTGTGCAAAACTATCCGTTACGATGTAAAAAAAAAAAAACTCCGATTCAATTTAAAAGTTTCTACGATCAAAAATTAAAATTCATCTCCGCGTATAAAATATTGCAATATTTATCTTGGAAGCGTGAAATTTTACTTAGAGGGAGAGAATATTTAATATTTTAAAGAGAAACATGCGGATAATATACCAGAAACAGTATTTTCGAGGCAGAAGAAAAACCCAGGAATATTTCCTGCTTAATTGCAAAGAAAGAAATAGTTGGCGCGAAATAAAGTGTGAAACGAATATTTCACCGAATATTTATTTCGGAATAAAATTCTGGCCGACGTATTGGTATTGGTACGTTTAAAATTTATTTTTCATAAAAACAGTTCGACTCGTGGAAACATTTCTTCAGTAACTGTTCCTTCAGGCGTGTCGCGTTCGGAACAGTTTCGCATCGTGAGCATGGATTGCTTTCTAAAATTCCACTTACGATGCCAAGAATTATCCAAATAACTGTGCATAAAACTGTGCGCGCAGACAGATTGACGAAAGTATCCTGTCAGGAAATGTAATACGCTATTAGAGATGCCATCATCGATTCTGTCAGGTAATCAAGAAAGTTCTGTCGTTTTATGATGTAAAACACTGGTATCAAGGAATGGAAAACACATTCGTGTTTATGAGAGGAGTGATGCACTCTCATAAACTCGGATGTTTTCACGTTTTATTTCTCGTCTCGAAGAAATTTTGAAGATTTTGAAGTAAAGACGGCGGAACAATAGAAAATGTTCAAATTTTAAGAATAAAAAAATTGTGCATATATTCAAATTCGAAAATTCATTTAACTGTTAACGGCATTTACGGAAAAATCGTGGAAAAGAAGAATAAGGGAATGCCAGATTGTAGATTCTTATGTAACGTTCGAAGAAACATTTTTCTTTTTTTGATTGGTTTTTAACACGTGCGCGCCTGGATGGATTAATTTTTCGTCAATCGTTTGTAAATATTACAAAATTCGGGAAAGTATGGTAAAAAAAAAAAAAAAAAAAAATTAAAAAACGAGTTTAACTACCAGAGAGAATAATAAAAGACGATGCAAATTACGATTGGAAATTTCCACTTCCAGGAAATAAGGTAGGAACGTTATACTCTGAAAAAATCATTGTTAATCTTGTATTGAAATTTTATGTTTCCATACACGAGTATAATATCGTAACGTCTGCAATTTGTCGAAACAAGAGATTCGTATATATATATATGTAAAAAAACATACCAGTTATTCCAAGAGAAGCAACAAAGCCTCGGTAAATATTATATCAAGCGAAATAAATCTCGTTATATTATAACTCGAATCCTCTTGCGCAATTGAATTAATATTATTGGTAAAAATTTTACATGTCGCAACTTATCAATTTCTTGTCAATATATATTCTTTTTTCACAGTAATTTTTACAAGTGAATTTTACGAATTACATTTGTTTGTACTTGTCAATTCGATAATATTATTAGTTATAATAAATAAAAAAAAAAATAATAAAATTCCTTAAATACTTGTACCTGTAATATCTGCAGTTGAATACCGTTCATATCTAATTTCCATATTCTTGCACGCTCTCTATCCTTTTGATCCGGCTCTTATCTATTCAATTCAATTTTCTTTTGTTTTTAAAAATAAATAGTATCAATTATAATACAATATATAATTAAACTTTATTAATAAGAGAATAATATGAGATACAGAAAAATAAAAAATCTCACCAAGGTCGAAAGAGTTAAACCCCACATAATGCTCCACGTGCGAGGGATACTCTGACGAAATTTTCATACACGATTTCACCAATGCACCATTTATCTTATCAATTTAAACGAAACACATACATACATACGTGATCGTATTACATTTTCGATATATCAATCTCTCCAAAAAATTTTTAAATTTCGAACCAAATACTCCTTTTTTTCTCCAACACGTATATGGCCTCTCAAATATATATAGCCTCTCGTGTATGGATAATTCGATGCATTATATCGCTAATGAATAGACACACGTCCAACTCCGAAGGACTTGACACAGTGGTACAACTTAGATAACTTTAGTAACGTGTATACATACAGCAGAGCCGTATGTTCACGGTGTAATGGCCCCACGTGACACACCGCGTCCCCGTCATTAATGAAGTCGCAGAATGTATTTGCATTAGGTTCCATTACACGTGAGTTTCGAGCATGCACTCGACACTGAACACCAATACCTTCTGAGAATGTCGTTAAACGAGAGATGTCAGTCGATTTTGAGGTCGATAATGAGACCTAAAAAAAAAAAAAAAAGCAGAAAATATAGAAGAGATATCCTTTTTCCTCGATCTTATAGTTATACAAGTTCTCTATGAAAAAGCTGTTCTGTCGAGAAATTATTTTCTTCTGATCGACACTGCAATTGATATTAAATTAGAAGGATCTATTGACGAAGATTAATATCGAAGGATGCTCGAAACCACTTTACGAATCGAGTGGTATATCTCATAGTTGAAGCATGCGCGAGAGATCTTGTTGTGACATCCAATAGTAATGCTCGTTTAATTATCTTTTTCGCGTGTAATTGTGCTCACCGGTTTGTGGAAACAAGTTTTCGAACGAAAAATCTTATTGGACGTTTATTTGAAAAATATTTTTAAGTTTGTCGAGAGAGATAATATTGGTCTTTTATTGATTTTTTTTGACATATATATTTTTATATTTTTTTTTTTAATCAATACCGATATTATTGAGAAACTGTTTTATATAAATAAAAAGTTGATCAAAAAAATATGAACACTGATATAATTTTGAATTTTATGCTTTGTATGTAGAATGAATATATATAAACAACAAAAATATGTAAAATTTAATATATAAATCTCAAAAAATAAAAAATTATTGACTCGAAGACAAGAAAAAAATTTTTATATCAAGCTTTTTATAGGATATTTATAGGATATTTATATATTTATAGGATAAAATTGTGCATGAATTAATTTGTTTTAGGTTAATCTATGTGATGAAAGTAATAAAAACTTTTTTAATTTTTAAATAAAGAAAGTAAAAGAAATTGTAAAATGTCGTTGTGAAATTGTCGTATAAATTGTTTTATATAAAGCAGAAGAATATTTAGATGTTTAAAAAATCAAATCACGAAATGATGAAAAAATGAAGAATGAAATGTCAGAGGTTATAAAATTTGAAATATACGAATTATATTCCATGAATATATTCTAAGAATGTATTTTTCAAAACGAAACGATAAAATTTTTTGTAAATAACAATTCATCCATTTACAACTCAATTTTGAATCAAATAACTCTTTTTCTTTTCACCTCTTATACGAGTAAAAATATTTCAACCTTTTTCGAATAAAAATATTTCTTTACCGAGAAAAAAAAATTCGCAATATTTTATTTCCTAATAAGAATTTGCGTTCTCTGTATCGATACGATTATTATTTCATGTAACAATCGTAATTACTAAAAAATATATTTAATTATAGTTTCTCAATATAGTAATAAGTCGTCTTTCTAACCTAGTTCTCCTAATCTAATTTAATCTAATCTAAACATTATTCACATTAATCATAAATATTTTTTAAGTTAACATTTAAAAATTTTTTAAGTTAACATTTAAAAATTATCACATACCATGGTATATTGAATACCATATAATGTTCATTTTTCTCTATCCTGAAACATTCAAGTTTCCAATAACTTATGATGGGGACTATACACAGTCTGAATATTTTATGTTCCATAGAGATTCTTCAAGATAAATTCTACGGAAATAATGATGCCTTTTGCTAATTTTTATTGCATCGTGCTACAAAACAAAACGTTGCACGAGCGACTACACTTTAGAAACAATTACAACAATAGGTTATTTTGCAGAATGTATAATTATTTTCACATGATCATAAGTAACTTGCTAACTTAGAACATCGAGAGAGAATCGCAAATTTTCTCAATATATTATTTCATAATTACTAGTCTTGTTTATTTCATGCAGAACGTTTGAAAATTATTAGTTGCAATGAAGTTTATTAGTCGAAACACTGAATGTTGGAATGTTTTAAAACGTTGAATGCTTTAAAAGAGTTTGATACATTAAAGTAATAAAAACGCAGAAATATTACAAGTCAGTTTCCCCGACGAGAAAATCGAACTGGACAATCCAGAAAGAAACATCAGTCGGAGCAGACTTTCTCTCCATATTTTCTTCGTTCTTTTTTCTCTTTGAGGTGATATTATGATACTTGAAAAAAGCATTTATCTGTTTAATTCAATAACACGTGTTTGATCATTTTTATTATTTTATTTCTTTGTAAATGAAAAAAAAAATAAATAAATAAGAAGTAAATGAATATTAAAAAACCAAAAGAGTTTATTGATTATATATTTATATCATTTCTTCGATAATGCTCGACCTATAGTTACTCATGTACTTACGTACGTCGCCACAATGATATATACAATTACTTAATCGCAGATCGTAAAGCACAGAGAACGTAATTGTGTGCGAAGAATTCTTGGCATTGAATCAAGCATAGCCAGGGAAAACGGGATATCCCACTTCGATTATCTCGTTTAGCGCACGTTTCTCGTGCCAATGTTTCTCAATTGTCCTGAAATGTTTACATTTGTACCGATTGCTGGGAGATCCCACAGTTTACTTATCTTTCCATTAATAATCTTGCAATATATGCATCGGTAATTCCCTATTTATTTATTTTCTCAAAGATTTTTTGCACTCGAGAATGTTTTGGAAAAATTTCAATTTAATAATTATTCTTTGATTAATAGCGAATTTAAGATAAAAATTATATTATTTGTGTATAATGTATGAATAAGAATAAGAATAATATTTTATTATCGATTTATTAATGAATCGAAATCTGAAACTGTAAAGTTTTGAAACAGAAAAACCTTTTAGAAAAAGGTTATCTTTGCTACTTTCATTTTTTTAGGAAACTGTCAAAAATGAATCAACACTCTTCTTGTTTACAAATCTTTTATATTAATAGAATCCTTATCGATTTCAAGACTTCCAATACTAATTCCAACACTATCAACTATTTTTTCCCACAAATCAAACACACATGCTGTCACGCGACAAAAAGAACCTGTTAGACAACGTAATTCGATAAATATTCTAATCGATCAATCGTCGAATCACTTACCCATTCGATAATTAACGATGAGATGCATGACAAGATTATTGATTTTTTTCTTTTGACACTTTCTATGAAAATAAAAAAAGTAAACTCGAAAGGGAATCGAACGTCTGAATCACATAAATAACGATGAATCGATGAATATCGCTAATAAATGATTCATCGAGAAATTAGCAGTATATAAACATACACATTATATTTTCAACCGATCGACGAAGATTAATATTGCATCCGTGTGCAATTCCAGGGGGTCCAACGCGTTACTTTCCTTGGGATAATGCGAAGCCTGGAGAGGTTATCGGGTAGCGATCAAGACTGTGATCAGGAGATGTATATCGACCTGGACGACGCTTCCGTCGACTCGCTTACCGGAAAACGAAGTCGCCATCATGTCGTTGGCGCGGAGGTAAGGACATCTCTTCTATTTTTGGTGCAACTAAATGCAACATGTCGGTGAACCCGTTTCGTAGCATAATTAATAAATCGAGTTCTAATTAAGTTAAAATAAATCTTTATTTATTTGTTATATCTTTACATTTGAAAGTTTTCTGCAATTCCTTATCATGCTGTGAAAAAGTAAAAAAATGTTAAGTATTATGATAATTAATTATATGTTTTTTAAAAAGTTGATATAATTTTACACTTTGTTGTTAAAAATATTAATCAGTTTATCTTCTAAGCAGTTCAGTTATCAATTATGTTATAATTTTATCAGTGTATATCAATATAAGATTTCATTTTAATTCATTTCTCATAAAAAATACATAAAATATTTTTAGAAAATTAATCAATTGTATATTTTATAGGATAAATCTATTGATATATCGATTTGATTTGAGAATAGTTTCCTAATACTTTCTTTTTCTTTTTTTTAATGAAATTATAGGAATTTTTGAATTTCGAAATTTTTTGAATTTAATTTTAAATGAAGTTATATAACTTTATTAAAATCTGCAATTAATTTTCGAATAATTTGATAACGAATTTGATATCTAGATATATAAAAATGAAATATATTGTTGTAATTATATTATTGTTTGTAAATTTCTCCTTGGATTTTTTGGATAAATTACGTTTATCAATACATACCGATCTATCTATCGATAATAAGATAAATATGTATCTTATTTAAAATGGACTCGTAATATCACGAATTCTATAAATTATATTCTACATTAATAAAAAAAATCGAAGTGCGATAAATATATTAAAAATAAATTTTGATATATTTCATTTTTTTATATAATTACAAAAATTATAATTACATAATTACAAAATTATAAATTTAGAAATTTTATTTATGATACGTGTATGTAATATTTTTTAATTCGTGCAAAGATATCGTGTATTCAGAAATTTGAGTTGATAGAATCAAAGGTTATATTTTATTTTTATTATACAAAGACTAATTAAAACAAAGTGCTGACTTTTCGTCAACAATATCGAGTGTTGATTTTCAGATATCAATTATTATCGATTATTAATCGAAAAAAGCATCGATCAAAGTATCAATTATTAATTACATTAAAGTAACATTTATATAAAGTGTATGCAATGAACTATAATCACTGCATACATGTAGGAGTTATGTATAAAAGAAAATTCAAAGATAAGGTTATCGGGCATTGAGATTCGTAAATGTTCTGAACAACTTGCGCGATTATTTTAAGCAAAACTGGTAGAAAATATGCACAGAGATATGCAGTAGGAAAATATTTAGAATAATATATATTCAAATGGAATTTGATTTTAAAAATACAAGTGTATTCTTTTTATTATTTAAACACTTACGCTGTGTATTTAATAAATATTTCATATTTAAAATATTTTTCTTTTTTTAATATTTTTAAAAAAATTTTTTTTTTTTTTTGCCAACTTGATTTTATTATTTTTTTTTTTTTTTTTCCAAGGTTAGATTTAATAATAATTTTATTTCCACGAATGATTCAAAATGATGCAAACTTAACGTTATCTCTCTTTGATCAAAGATAATATTGTTGTTATAGTTTCAATTCAATTAACGTAATCGATATACAAAAGTAAGTGCTCACGTAAGTACCTACTTTTTACAAACAATGATAAGAAAATTATATACGTATGAACAATATATATGTACGATTATTGCATTTCCTGGAAATGTTACTAATACAAAAAGTTGCGGATGCATATTCGATCTTTTCGAAATAAAAGATATCGAACAAAAATTTCTGATATCCAATAAACAAAATTACACAGATACAATTACACACTTGCGTCAATTTTAATCTTATCTTTTACAAGAAACTCGAGTTTCCAACTAATATTA